ATTTTCCCTGGCTGTTTTCATTTTAAACGCATTTTGCCAAGAGGAAAGCGCCACGCTTAGAAACATGCGTGCACTCACGTAGGCCAAAAAAACAAAACAAAGAAAAATAATATTGGGGGAGGAAGGAGAAAACTGGTGTGCCCGGTGCATTTTTGGTGGTTGTGCTGCTTCTCTCTCATCAAAAATCAAATCGGGTAAATCGTTTTCCGGCTGTTTTTCAATCTTCTTTGAAAACGCGCCCTATTTACTAGATAAAAAAAAAAACCTAAATAACAAATAAACACAGCTAAACAGGTACATATAAGACACCTGTTTTGGGGCAATGCCTAGGAATAAATATTAATAAGAACTGTTAAATGTTTTAAACGTTTTTTTTTTAATAAATACAATTTTTGAAGACTGTTGATACTCTTGATGAAAATACATTTTCTTCAGATCTATAAAAATAAGTTTTTCAAATTTATTTGCTGCTACGCCTCGCACACAGATACACACCCATGCGAATCGAACGACTTTGAGTGCCAGCTCAGCTGATGACGAATGCTCTTTCGTACCGGCGGCGTATTTGCTATTTTTATGCATTTCCTTTTATTCAATCAACGAAATTTGTTGTAGTGCAAGTTGTAGGGTGGGCAAACAACAACATCTACAACAACAACGATAGCGATGGAAACAGACGCGCCATTTATAGAAGTCAGCTGTCAGAAAGAGAGAGGGTGGGAGAGCGTGACTTCCAATCAGGAATATCTGGAAAGCTTGACAAAGAGAGCACGTGGGAGAGGCCGAAAAAAAAGCTTGGGCCCACATGTTTTTCGCTACGTCTGGTTTCCGTTTCGCGGAACGAATGAAATCGAAACAAAAACCCAACGAAGACTATAGCCATTTCGCTCCAACGTCATGCTGTTACCCCTACCTGAAAGAGAGAGAGAAAGAGCCAGAGAGCGGCACTCTCTAGCAACATTTGTGACGACGGCGCCGGCGAATATTGAAAAACTTTTCGTATTGGAACTGTTGCTGGCTTCTTGTTGGAAAAAAGTACAGTCACCGCAAAAGCGGCCGTCTGTTGTATGTGTTGTTGCTTTGTTGGTTGGCTTGTGTTTGCTCTGAATTGGATTCTTGTTGGACCCGCCAGTTTGATCGTCTTTTTTGCTTTCTTGTTTATGCTTTTGCTTTTGACTTTGCCTTTTGTTTACACACACTGATATGAATTGGTGGTGGATTTTTCTTTTCGTTTCACTTGCCGGCATTTTTCCAACAAAAACAACTATAATTGCGAAGGCAACGACACTTTCTTATTAGCCAAGGCCTCAACTTACCGGCTAAACCAATGGTTGCGAGAGTTTGGGGGATAGTTAATGGAAATGGGAGGGAGGACCGTATGATACGGGAATGGGTAAAATGACCGTATAGAGCATATGATTATTCTAATCAGATCCCAGAACAAGTGCATCCCATCTGATAAGTTTAATAATGGGAAGATTATTTTTATGGGACAGAAAATAAATACATACAAAAAAATTACTTACAAATCAGTCAAAACACAAGGGGTTATTTTGCCTTGGACTAGTATACAAAACCTAAAAAAATAAAGATTTAAGTTCATTTTGTTTATATTTTGTATATTGAAATTATTCTTGAATCTGTCTTAAACATATTTTCAGTGACTTCCTCTTTACATGTTTATGACTGGCTTAAAATTTAGTTGTTTTTATTAAAGTTTGTAGAAGTCTGTTAATATCCTAAAATAAAACTCTTTGTCTTCAATAAATGAAACCGTTTTATCAGACAAAGAGGTTCCACGCTTCTTCTTATCTTTTCAATAGTTCCCATGTCTGCGTCTACGATTTCCAATAGACACAAGTCAATGAACGACCTTTGTGTGTAACAACAAAAACCACAGCTAGAAAACTTAAATATGCAATGTGATTTATTCTCGCCTTTTCTTGTTGCTGTTTTTGTTTATAAGATATGCGCACGACATTGCAATGCCGATGTCTGCGATAGAAATAGATATAGATAGAAGACATCGCTAGGCAAGGGGAGTCGAAGATTGAAAATCGCTTGGGTACTAAAAACCAACAAATAATAAACCCGAGAAAACTGTACACACAATAACATAGTCTCTCTCTCTCTCTCAAAAACTACACAACACAGATGGTGTGCAATTGTCAGGAAGGGGGTGAGAGAGCGGAAAAGAGAGTGAGAGCAGCTGTGATATGCCGGCAGACTCGTGAGATTGTTGTTGTTGTTCAGTATGGCTATCTTTTAGTTGTTATTATTGCCTTTTAGTAGTGACCTCCGACAACAAAAACCGAAAACCAAAACGAGTTTTTAACAAAAACAACAACAAGAACAGCTTTAAAGTAGCATAAGATTTATGGTTTTTTAATCAAAGCCTAAAGAATGCATGTGACATTCCATTGGTATGTGTAGAAAAAAAAAATTCAGGACATTTCTTACGACTTTATTTCCACTGAGATTTTCGGCTCTTTTATAAATTATTTTATTATTATTATTATTAATTCTGAAAACATAATAACAGAAGAATTTCCACGTGAAATTAGTAATAATTTAATTTAGCGTTTCAAGGATTTTGAAGTTAATAAGAATTGAAGTTTTTGTTGGTAACAGTAATAGATATAAAAACATTTGTGGCCTAACTTGTCGCCTAAGCTGATTTGCATGCTGCTTTTGTTAGCGTCTAAGTCAGATTTTTACCGTTTTTGCATACGATCCACATTTCTACTTTTCCGCTTTTACTTCCCACACCTTTTTTTTTGGTGGCCAGTGTTGCACAAAGCCTGAATTGAGGAGCGCGCGCATTTTGAAGGACACAAGTTCCTTAACCCTTTCGCGAAGCGAGGGTTCCCAGCTTTACTACACTGTTTACTACAAAAAAAAAAGGCAAGCAAAAACAGTCAAAGCAAAATGCAAAAGCAACAAGCCAGGCTGTTTATGTGTTGTGTGATTTTGCAATTAAGTCTGCTCTCGGCGATTATGCATCGACTTCGTCCTCCTTCTTTTCCCTTTTTTTCCTCTTTGTTTTCTTATGCTCAGCTGGATATTCTCCATGTGTGTGTCTCTGAATGACTTATATTGTGGGGCGAGAAAAAGAGAGGGCACTGTTAATGGGTTAATAATTTCCTCAATTTTATGATCACTTATGAATGTACAATAATAACACAAGCCTTATGATTAAATTGAAGGGGAATTGGTACAAACAGTACCCCTAATTTTGATTATGGCTTAAAAAATATATACAACAAAATTATAGTCTACAGCTTAACTAATACAAATTTTCCGTTACGAAGTTCAACTTTTATTGTCTTAGAAACTCAATATTATTCGTATACTATCCTTTCTATAAAATCCTTGAACCGTTTGACAGCTTGCGGTGCGGTAAAATCCCTTTTGCTTGTTTTAAACTCTTAAACTTATTTATACTTTAAACATTATGATTAATCCATTTTCATTTCCAGGCTGCCATCCTGCAACAGACCTTCCAATACATTGTGGAACTGGAGAACCAGAAGACGCAGCTGCTGACACAGAATAGTGAACTGAAGCGCCAGGTGGGCGAGCACGAGGCCGGGGGCGGCGGATCCGGCGAGGGTGGTGCCAACACTGGCGGAAACTACAACGATTCGAGTGCCAGCGGGGGCAACTCCACGGCGGTGGCTATTAAGAAGCGCAAGCTGACCGACAACGTGATTAACATCCAGGCGATCAGTGACAGTTCCGACGAGGGTCTGGGCTCGATGTCGCCGGAACCGATGACTCTGCTTAACGCGGGCGGAGCGGCGGCCACCAAACTGAGCAATGCCAGCATTCTGGCGGCCAAGGAACTGCACGAGATGAAGAAGCAGCTGGAGAAGGAGCGCAGCCTGCGGAGACTCCTCGAAGACGAGCTGCAGATGATCAAGCGGCAGCTGTACAGTGTGGCAACAGCACCGCCAGGAACTGCGGTGGCAGCCGCTTCTGGCGGCAACAGTGGCGCCTACATTCCACGCGAGGTCATCGAGCACACCGACAACTTTGTGCGCAGCGAGGATTTGGAGGAGCTGGGCGGCACTGTCTCTTACGTGGAGATCGATGAGATGACGGGCCAACAGCAGGTGGTCGTTTGCTCCAGCATCGAGGAACTGGAGGCCGATGCCGCTGCCGAGATCATCACCGAGGATCAGGTGCACGAGGAGGTCATCCTGTCGTCGAACAGCTCCACGGAGTCCGAGAACGAGGTGAACGTGAATGCAATTGCCAAAGCCTATGCCGAAGGATGCCCGTCGAGTGCTGCCATGCTGCAGCCCATTCTGCAGGCGGCCATCAAGGCCACGCCCAAGGTGGAGGTGGAGCGCATTCACGACAAGATTGTCAAGGTAAAGGCGGAGAAGCATGATCTGCCATCGATGCAGACGACCACGCACTACCAGCATCCGCATCGTCAGAATCTGGAGACCATTGTCCAGGCCATCAGGCATCTGGAGGGCGATCATCTCTTTGCGGACGGCAGCGGGGGCCAAGAGAAGTTTGGCCAGCAGCAGCAGAATCTCCAGCAGCATCACCACCAGATGACTGGAGTGCATCACCACCACCAGCAGCTGCAGCATCACCATCGGGTGGCGCAGGATGCCCCACTTGCCCTGACCACCACGGGCAAGCAGCACGCGGCACTGGCAGAGCTGCGACCCTTCCTTCAACTCAAGAGCGGCGGTAACAAGCAGGTGATCATAACGGCCAAGTCGGCCAAGGATGCCGGCGGTTTGGTGTCGACGAGCAGCAGTACCACGGTGACGCCGACGGCGATCTTCAAGGTGCAAACAACGGGCGGTCATGGAAGCAACAGCCATTTGTCGGCGGGCTCAGCGGCGGGCACCATAATCACTGGGAGCAATGGCAACGGTGGCGCCCAGCAGCTGACCATCACCACAGCCTTGAAACAATGCCGGCCGGGCGTGATAGTGGCCAAGCAGCTGCCGTCGTCCTGATTCAATGGCCCCAAAATGGGAGCGGGTTCGGGATATAATGCAGCTGGTGGTGGAGCAAAGGCAGGAGGCAAGTGTGGCGCCCAACGTGGGGCAGGAGCTGTAACTGGAGCCAGAGCAAGTATTAAAGGCGCTCGCCAGGAGGCAACAACCACAACCACACCGACAACAACATCAACAACAACGGCAACAGCAACCACTCAACAATTTACTAAGCAAAATCCTTTTGCTGCCTCCCGGCAACGTAATAGTAACAGTAACAGTAACAATAGTAGCAGTAACTTTAACCTTATTGTAAGCAGTAAAAATAGTAGCATCATCAGCAGCAACAGCCACAGAAATGTTAAAGAGACTGTTACCAAACAGAGGCAGAGGCAAAAGAATGTAAATTAGTAAGAGTTTAACAAGAGAAAAAACCAAACAAAACGAAAAAGATATACCAAGCAGACCTAAACAAATTTTGTATTTTTGGGATATTTATGATTTAATTTCAAACTCAACCAGACCTCTCTTCCCAAGCTTCAAACGCCAACAATCCACAAAACATATAGCCACTGTAATTAAATGCAAGGAAAATGTACACTTAACATTTGTTCATTTATTGGTTAAGAAACTAGAAATAACATAAGAAACAAACAAAATACAACTGAACAATTGATTTTCAACAACATAATAGAGCAGCAAACAACAGCATAACGACAAAAGAACGAAACCGAAACAACAAAACAGAGTACAAAAGAAAAAGAAAAAAGAAAATAGACATAAAATTTATGAATTTTTGTTTGGTTAATTCGTTTGAATTGCATGCAGTGGAAATGGGCGCGAAAAACAAATGAACGTTAAGAGGATGCCGGAAATTGTTTAAGCAAGTTTAATTGATAATTCCTTGAACTCTATAAACACCATCGCATTAATTTTTACCTTTTTTAAATTATTTTTTTCATATCTTTAATTTTTACGTTTATAGGCGTACTTTATATACTTTGAATGGAACTTATTGAGTTTTTGTTGATATATTTGTGTAAAAAATTTTTAAGTATACTTATGTAAGAGAGTGCAGAGCGTGGGTGGTAAACATTAAACAAAACAAGAAAAACAAAAACAAAAACACAAAAAAATTAAAACCAATCTAAAGAAAAAAAAAATGCAAAACGAAAAACAGAACTAAAAGCAAGTGAAAATCGTTTATTATATAAACTATTATATAAATATATATATATATATACAAATATAAATTATATACAAATTACGCATACCTACCACAACATATATAAATAATACATGCAGAGTACATACGAACATAAGTAACGGAACATTACATAATATTACTACTAAACTACAATAAACAAATACTTTGCATACATATTTAATATGCTTTAGTAACATAAGTACGACAAGTTCAGAGAGTTAAACCAAGAATTCCTCGATTTCCCCACACAAAATTCCCTTCAAAAAGCAAAAAGAATGCGCACGTGTGAGCGAAAGGGGCCTTGCATTGCAGATGTCTCCTTTCGCCAAGCCGCGCCGACGCTGTGCGTTTTTTACTTTCTTCTGATTTTCCGAAATCGTCTCATAGATGACGCCAGCTACGACACCAAGTGTCCCTGCTCGGGCGCCACTCTTGAGACCCCATTCGAATTGAAGAACTAACTCTTCTTCGCGCAGCGTTGCCGCGGCTTGGCGTCCCGCATTTCCCGCCCCCCCCAAAAAAAGGAGAGAGACTATGAGAATGATGAAGGGATCAGCAAATGCATCCAGGCAGCTACACTTTGCCACCCCCTCTCGATCGCCCACTCGTCCGCATTCGAAATATTTGATTAAGGAAACATTATGCAGGCAAACCGTTCACAGTTAAAGGAAAAAAACGTAACGAAATTTAAAACATGAAGCATATATAAGCCAGATCATACAAAAACAACCAGATATTACTACATACATTCATGCTCTATGAAAACAAAAAAAAAAAATACAAAAAATTATGTCAAATAAATGGTTTTTCCTTTTCCCTCAACAAAAAATATCAAACATTTTAATTGGGGGTGATTAGCAAATATCTGTTTAATGGTTCTGTAAATGCCTGCATGGCAACAATGCAGAGAATCTGTTTTGGAAACAGGCATCAGATGGACCTCAAAAGGCTACTTAAATATGAAGCTTAAAAAGAAAATAATACAAATATTCGGGTTAAAAAAAATATTTTTTGTTTCTGCCGAAAGTTTGTCTTTTTAGGTTTTTATTTGAAGATATATCTAAGAAAAATTAATTGACAATTTTTATGTTTTATAAAAAATATGTTCAGATATGCCTAAAGAAAATGTTTTTTCTTTCGTTTATCATAAATCTAGAATTGAATCGGTTTTCAGGGTGTGTAACGCCCAATCTGTGTAGCTCATATAAGCCATAATACCGGATCAGGAGTCTTGTGTTGGAATATAAGTAAATTCAAGGTTTTTTAATCTATCACTAGCCTGAACTTGAATTATTTGAAACCAGAACTACAACTGCTCCTCTTCGATTTGCAGATCCGTGGAGAAGACGTACATATCCCGCCTCCTGGCGAAAAGCATTTCCTGTCGCTTGGGATGAGTGGCCAATGAGTGGACTACGCCGCCATTATCACCTAACGAAACAAATCGTTAAATTAATATTATAAATTCAAAATAAAAATTACTCTTCCGTACTGATTCGAATGCGCTGCAGAACTTTTGTCTCGAGCAGGTCGTAAACGAAGGCATCTCCGTTACTAGATCCAGTGACTATATGAGCATCGTTCGCCAGTATTCCGCACTCAATGTGGTAGTCATCGCCGCAGTGGCCCTTGTATTCGGACAGTAGTCCACCCGTCTCGCAGTCCAAAAGACGCACTACACTATCCTGACAGCCAGCCACCAGACATTGCTCGTCCCTCGTCTGTGCCAAATAGGTGATGGGTTCGCCCACCTTGTCGCAGGTGAGTTCGCCCACCCGAATATCGTAGGTCCGCACACAGCCGTCCAAAGAGGCTGCGTAGATCCGATTCTCGTTGGTCGCCACCGTAGTGATGCAATCGCGAGCCTCCTTCATTACTTGCACTGGATCCAGGCGACGCGTTCGAATGTCCCAGCACATCACGGCATTGTCCCTGCCCCCGGAAATAGCCACGGAGGAGTCCTCGTTGAAGCAGACACACCGAACTCCGCCGGCGTGGCTGCGCAGGCGTCGAACAGGGGCTCCTAAATTGGAAAACATATCTTGTTATTACCAGCACTTTAAATTTATTAAACAAATATTTTTAAAAATTAAAGGGCTGTAATTCCTAGTTAGCTTAGTAAAGATAATTTTTAAAATTGTAATGAAATTTATAATCTTGGACTCTGTTATCTATTTCCAAGGAAATTTTGATTTTGAACAGGTAATATGTTTTACCGCCAGATGGCGCAGCATTTTAAATATTTATCTATCCATTTGAATTATACTTGGGCCATCTGCTGGCATTATATCTATTTATAAATTGTTTAACTGAATAACAGGTATCTTATAGTCGAAACACTCAACTATATTTTTAGATTATGGCCTTACAAAAACATTTAAATGATATTGAACATTAGATATCAAGTGGCTAAAATCTCACCGGTGGACACGTCCCAATATATAATGCTTTTATCCAAACTGGCGGAGACAATATAGCTGCTATCACAGCTTCCCTGCAATGCACAAGAAAATTGGAATTGCTGTTATTTAGAAAATATATTTGATGATATACCGCTGCATCCGTAACTTCGTCTGCATGACCGCCATAAGTCTTGAGAAGAATACCCGAAACCGGATTCCAGAGTTTTATCTTTTTGTCAGACCCACAGCTCAAGCAATAGGTGCCATCAACTAATAAATAAATATTTTGTTAAGTGCTAGGCATTTTAGTTAGTTTTGTTTAACGAAAATGACTCACCGTTATAGCGCACTGCACGAACGGCTCCTTGTTTGCAGTCAATTGTAGTTTTTAGATTAAAATTTTCGAATTCCGGCATATTTATAAATTATAAAAAACGTAAACAAACGGTCGGTGTGACCATTCTATAGTTTTGGTGATTTTCCGGAAATGTATTGCTTGGCATTTTAATAGGATTTAAATATTTTGCAAAAATTATAAATGTTAACAAATCAACTTTTGCAATTAAAAGCCTAATTCTAATTCCTGATTCTCTTACGCTTAAGATAGAAAAAGAAATGTTAAGTTTTTGGTGGAGTCTCGAAAGCTCTTGTACAATATAACAAACATGGCTTCACTTTTCAAAGAATGTATGTTTTCAAATTTAGTTTCCTCAAAACTTTCACTGCTATTTGACAGTAAATAAACAAATATCATGCAAAGACCCCAAAAAACGAACAACTCAAATTCAAACATTGAGTGCGCACCAGTTTACTAATGGAGTGGTGAGTTGGCGGGTGGTGAGTTCAATGGAATGGGGAGTTGGTAAAGGCGCCAATAAAGTTGAACAGCAAAAGCGAAACAAAAACGTGCCAAGGAACAAGAACTTGGCCAAAAAAATCCGCTGCACACGTTGTAACCCAAAATTTGGACTGCTCCTTTAAATTAAAAGCTGCAAATAGATCAACGGTAAGATATATAGACTTAATAAACAAGAAATCCAGCTGATTTTCTCGACTTACAGCTGATTGCTAAACTTTTGTTATTTTCTTTTTTCGGCAGATGGCCAGCAAGCGGCTGATGCTGGATGTGGAGGAGGAGGAGGAAGGGGAAGAAGGGGCATGTGGAAATGATGCCCAAAATGCGAATGTGGAGAAAAGCCAGGCCAAGAGACGCAAATCCTTGCATGCGCATCCCCTGCAAAGGATGCTCAAGCAGCATCTTCCCGCCAGCGCCGCCATTCTGTCGCCCATCACCGAATTGGCCCAGAATATGAGTGGTGCGCGGCTGGATGGCACACCCAAGTCCACCCAGCGTAGTCAATCCTCCACCCGGCCCCTCAGCACCTTCAACAGCCTGTCCTCGCGAACCCTCAGCGGCTTCAGCAGCTCCTGCTCAAGCTACGATTCGGGCAACTCCCTGGATGACGAGTACATGGCCATGTTTGAGCTGGAATCCACAGAGGATCACAATCTAGAGCTACCCGATGACCTGGAAAAGCTCCTAAATGGGCAGCTTAAATCAGAAGGCAATCCGGAGAAGGAAACCGCTACGCAGAAACGCACACTTCGTCGGTGTATGAGCTTGTTTCCCACCGATCAGCCAGAGGATGATGAACCAGCTGGTCAGGAGACCAACCCTTCCATCAAGAAGCTGCAAAAGAGGACCCTCTCCATGAACGATGCCGAAATCATGAGCGCCCTGGGTGAGGAGCCGCAGCTAATTGGGGATCTCAGCAAGCCTTGTGCTTTGCCCTGCTTAATAACGGGCGTAAGACATCGTGACCTGAAGACCATCTCCAGTGACACACTGGCACGTCTGATTCAAGGGGAGTTCGACCTGGGCAGCCAGGGTGGCTATCAAATCATCGACTGCAGATATCCCTATGAATTCCTGGGCGGTCATATAAAAGGAGCAAGGAATCTGTACACACGTGGGCAGATACAGGAATTCTTTCCCAGTTTGAAATCCAACCAGGAGGATCGTCGCATCTATGTGTTCCACTGCGAATTCTCCTCGGAGAGAGGGCCCAAGCTATTGCGCTTCCTGCGGAGCAACGATAGGAGCCAGCATGCCCACAACTATCCGACACTGGACTATCCAGAGCTCTACATCCTGCACAATGGCTACAAGGAGTTCTTTGGCCTCTATGCTCAGTTGTGTGAGCCCAGCCAATATGTGCCCATGCTGGCGCCCGCCCACAATGACGAGTTCCGATACTTTCGCGCCAAGACCAAGTCTTGGCAGTGTGGCGAAGGTGGAGACAGTGGAATCGGCGGTGGAGGCTCTCGAGACCTCCGGAAGTCGCGATCCCGCCTTCTCTACGCTGAGTGAGGTAACCAAACCTTCCCGCCATGTTTAAGCCCACCGAGATCTCACGGAGAACCGAATGGTTCACCTTTTTTACCCACAGAACAAATATGTATTCTTTTAGGACGCAAATTTTTAGATTAATTTTTCGTTGCGTTGTTGAAATGTTGTGAAAGCCCTTTAGATTTATTTCTACATGTTTAATTCCATCCGAATTTTGGATTTTAGTTCAGCGTTGTGTAAAACAGAAGACGAAAACAAAAGCATTGGGAACAAAAGAAATGGAAATGGATAAATGTTCTCTAGTCAGTGAAAGCTAAAATTTCGAAATTGTTTCTAGTTTACTTTTTGTGTTCGGCATTTAATAGTTAAGTTTACAAAGTAATTCGTGTTGTAGTTTAATAAACAAAATCGATTTAAATATGTAAAGAAAATGTCCCCAATGTTTAATCATCATAATCTTATCCTTAAGCTTAAGTCAATAATGAAGTCGAAAATGAAATATTAATCATATTTATGTATAAATACAAACAGTGGCAAAATTATATTTTTGTATTTCGAATTATATCAGTACACTTTTATATTTAACATAAAAATGGATTTCTTATATAATTTATAGTTTATAAGATAAAACAAAATAATGATTTATAAAAACATAAAAAAAGAGGAAAAGTCTTGCTTATAAGTTAAAGTATATACATATTGCAAAGCTGATACAATGGAAAAAATTGTCTTTAATTTATAAAAATTTGTATGATTTTTCAACCATTTAAAGAATAATTTAACACATAATAAGAAGCTTTAAAGAAATAAAAGCCGAAATAAAGGTTTTGTAATGAAGTAACCCCTAAACAAAGATGTAAGGAAGAGGAAAATGTGTTCTAGTCCGTTAAATATTTCAAAATGATATGTTTTTATGCTACGAAAAGTTCAATAAATTTTTAAGGCTTATAACCAAAGTCGGTCCCACAAATCTATCGAATCTCAATATTAAATTTGGTTTCACAAAATTAAAGACTTATAAAAGGAACAAACAAAGAATTTAATTTTTAGAATTTTATTTTCCGAAATATTAATACAAAGTTGTTTCATTTTATTCAATACTTTTAACAATTCTGACATGTTAAACTACAAGTAATAACCAAAGCTATACTAATTTTAATTCAAGAAATTTCGACCAGCAAAAGTGTTTAGAAAATAAGAGAAGTACTTTTCTAGCCGGGTAACTAAGACATAAATTCAGGTTATACCAAAATAAAAAAGTTTTCTAGTTTGGCTTTGTATACAAAACGTTTGTTTGCCAACTTATATCTCAGATAAGCTGTTTCACCCAAGCGGTTGAAAGTATGGAAACTTTCTGCCTGAGATTTAATTCTTAATTCGCGCTATTCGCTTCAAAGGGAGCCTTGCAGCCGGCCTTCTCGTAAAAGTCCAGTGGCAGGGGATCCTCATTGTCGTAGTAGTCGGAATCACGAGCACAACTGGGACCCAGTTCCAGCTTCACCATCTTCTCGCGCCAAAACTCGAGTAGCTCCTTCTTAAGCACTTCGTCCCTTAGTTGGACAATCCATTCGTTGTAGTCCTGTGGTCCATAAAAGCCAGCATCGCCCTTGTATTCGCGCAGCAGCTCAGCGGCCTTGTCCTGATCCTCCGCCGAAGGTGTGCCATCGAACAGCAGCTTCCAGATAATCTCCCTGGCGGCGGATGCCATCTTCCTTATGCTCTCCTGGTGAACATTGTCCGGAACAATGATTTTGGTCAGGACGAAGCGCTTCATCAGGGTGCGGTATTCCTCCAGAGGATTTTCCTTGGTCAACACGGCTTCGAATTCGCCGGACAGAGCGGCGCTATCGTCGGCACTTAATTCACCCGGAGTGCTGGGCACCGCGGGATCACCCTGTTCCTCTTCCAGGGCAGCCCGCACTTTGAGGCTAGCTGCAAAGGGAGCCGTACAACCGGCATGGGCGTAGAACTCCAGTGGGGGCGTGTCATCGCTATCAAAGAGATCACAATCGCGTGACCAACAAGGTCCCAATTGCTTCTTCACCAGAGTTTCGCGCCAAAAATCCAGGAGTTCACGTTTAAGGACCTCATCCCTAAGCTTTACAATCCATTCATTGTAGGGCGTTGGGTCGTAGAAGCAGGCATCGCCACGATATTCCTCCAGTAATTGGCTGGCCTTCTCCACATTTGATTGCGAGGTAGCGGTCTCGTCGAATAACAGCCGCCAAATGACGTCACGCGCCGCTGCAGCCGTCCGATCGAAATTCTCCTTGGTGACATCATCGTCCACGATTTCGTCAACCTGCACCCGCGTTTCGATGAGCTTTTGGTAATCCTTTACAGGATCCACCAGGCCAATAGTGTAATCATTCTGTAGAGATACAAATAATAATATATGTAACTGACAGTTTGTTTGTTATTTGTATATTACCTGTGGCACCTTTTCCGCTGTTGCCATTTTGTCAACTTCGGTATCTTCGGCCTTTCTCTTGGACATGCCCAATAAAATGATTCGGCGATTCTTATTTGTGCCCTGGTATATATAGAATTATTGAGAATCACTTGTCACTGTTGGCGGTGTAATGACTAATTCCTATAGATCATCGCTTGATTTCGTAGATAAATATGTGCAAAATACTAAACCTAAAAATAAGGTACAATAGGGTAACTCGACTGGTTTCAGTTGGTAATTTAGTTGGGGTATTCTCGCAGAAGTAATATAAAATTGAACTGTTTATGAATGATTATGAAGTGATAATAGTGAAGTGAATTGACAAACCATAAAAGTTTATATGTATATTGAAAAACTAAAAAGTTAAGAAAAGTTATGATTTTTCAGAAACAATTTTTCAAAACGTTTCCACTGTGAGATAAATACGGTAGATCCATAAAATGTCACATAAGGATTTCCACGCATTTCAAGCACGGTCACACTACCAGAGATTTTTCGAGCGAATTGTTAGCAGGTCGCAACGTCTACTTCGATTACAGCTAAATTACATCTGAAAATCAGTGAAACCCCACGTTAATCGTGCAATCCAGTGCTGAAAATTAAGCTACACCTTTTTCGCCCACGAAACAAGTGAAGTTGATTGAATTTATTTACTAATTGGTTCCGCCCAAGCCTGTCTGTGTGAGTGTGTGTGAGAGACTGTGTCCGACAAAGAAATTTGAGGTTAGGCTGCAGACGAATTTCGTGTTAATGTCGCCCAAAAACCTACGGTTACCGATCACATTCAATATAAAACACTTTTAATAAAATTAACTAAAGACATAGTCAATTACGATTACAAAAAAAACAATAGTTTTGGGTAAAAAACACACATACAAGCAAACTGCATTCGTGGAATTTGTGTCTGTGAGAGTCTCGCGGTGCGACTGTGTGTGTGCGTGTGGACGTGAATTCAATTTTCTCGTGCACAAAAAGCAACGAAAAAGCTTCAAAAGTTATACTCAAATGTGTATGGCAATTGTGGTAAGTGTGAGCGGGGGTTCGTTCAAGCCACAAGAATTTTAAATAACTTAATTTTCATTGTTAAAAAGTGAGCCAAAGTACAATGAACACCCACACAGCCAAAACCAACGGAATGGGTGTGTATGTGTGCATTGGCGTTCACATAGGCTTTTATTTTTATGTTACCAAAATTTTACCTTTCCAATTTGCTTGGAGTTTTGTATTATAATTTATAAATAGAAGTATTGGTAATACAATCACTTTATTTATAAAACTCGTTTAGGGTAGTTGCAAATATTCTAGTAACTTTTTTCCAAAGACCTTAATTTTTTTTTATTCTTATTCTTTATTTTTATTTTATTATTTATTATCCTATTTATCTATGGGTGGAAAGCATATCATTCTGTATTAATGCGACAGGTCCTGAATGTTTACATAAAGTAAATGAAGCAAAGAGCAAAACAATCATAAACTAGATTAAAGGCTAAATTTACGCATTTTACTTTCATTTGACCCAGTTACCTGCTCTCCAGTTAAAAGTAAATGTCAGGTGACCCAGTTTATCATCCGAATGGAACTAGGACAGGCCAGAATGCCCCAGTAAAACTTCAAAAACTGCTCTGCATGCCCAGAGTTTTCTTATAATTTTTTTTTTGGCAGTTTTCTTGGTGCTTCATACGTCATTCGCAGTGTATATACGTACACTGAGCGATATCTAATATCTAATCTGCGAAGGCATTTTAAGCATATTTGCCATATCAAAACGAGAGCAAACAGTCAACAAAATATGTAGCCAAGATATTCGTTCTGAGCGAAATATCCAAATCAGTTGCCATTTTATTCTGAGCATTTGTGGACGTAAAACAAGGCTAGTGGAAAGATTTCCGTCTCTGCTCTTAACTTTTTAATTTTAACAATCAGTTATTCAACAAGGTTTGGCTTTGATTTGCTGTTATCTCTATTTGTCACATTTTTGCTGCTATTTTTATCTTCATCGCAATGTTTGCTAATCGATATCAGTAAATTGCGTCAATTGGAATTGAAAGAGCGCAGAAAAAAAAACCGCCCAGCAACCAAAACCCCAGTGACATTTGATATACCAACTGGGGTTAAATTATTTTCAAACTGGTGGTTAAAAATCCAATGACGATCCATTTTTGCAAACCAAATCTCTTGTCAGTTTTCTTTTTTTTACTTTGTTTTATTTCCGTTCGAGGTCTCTTGTCCTTGAATAAGTTCAATGATGTTGCCCCGGCCATACAAACAAAAAAACATCATTCAGTTTGAGTGTTTATTTTCTTTTATTATTTATTCGTGATAAAATCAAGAACAAAAAAGATAAGCGTATCAAACAATATGAACAATTTAAAAATCCGGTTTGGTTTTATCAAAAATTTCCCATGCGAGTATATATAACTGACGTCATCAGTTAACACATTTACAGATGCCTGATAATTAAGCTGAGTCCAGAAGTTAATAAAAATATATTTTTATGAATTAAATTTATTTATTCAATTTAATTATTGTGATTTAAAATACATTTCGACACTCTTTATACCAAATTTGTTATCTTATAAAAATAAAAATAAATGTGAGTAATACGTTTAGTACATATATTAAGTCTTATTATTTTCTATTTCCTTATTTAAAAAAAATATTTGTGCTCTTATCGTGTAGTGTTCATATAATATGCTTTACCCCATGGGCAAGAATAAAGATAGAAATTACGTATACGAATGTGTATACAGCTCCTCCTTTTTTTTTGATTCCAGTCGTTTTTATTTTGTTGTCTGTTTTCTGGGTTTATCTGCTTTCCACCAGATCTTAAATGTTCCATGTTCTTACTCATACAAGTATGCACTGACATGCGTATATCAATTGAATTCTTCGAATTAAATGGCACAATTTATGATCATTAAAGTGTTGCCACCAATTTGTTTGAGGTCATATTGATTTATGGGAATTTATTGGGTCTTGGAACGTCTTGAAACAGGCTTCTTATGATTCCCAAACTCGCATTCAACTGCGAATTAACTGTAGACATTCTCATATTTGTTGTAAGCACTTGCTAATTAGAACTAGCGAAATAGAATGAGAGTTTTAAACTTTCAGAGACCACTTTTCCTGGTTATATATCATTGTGCTGTATTTTTACTGCTGTCACGTTTTGGCAGCTTGTGTGCAGAATTTCACCAATACATGTCATATCCAAAAATAGACCAAAAACAAACAACTAAGCATGCAATACGATTTACAAACGTCAGTGGGCGGCAAAGGGTGGAAGATAGGGGAAATGCCACCGACCACCTCCCCATATTCTATATATAGTGCGATAAATGTTGCGCGGTTTGTCCTCAATAGTTTGCCATGCCCTTGGGTTAAGGCAAAATAGCCAGAACTAACAAGTAAAACGACAGTTTGTTAGTGTATTCCATTCCTTGTATCTAATTTAACCTTGAAGGGCATGCCATTTGTGGCCGGGACATGCATTTGATAATTGCAATAACAAGTAAAGATTGTTTATTTCTGTTTTTATCAAAACCAAACAACAACAGCTGTTCCGCAAAACGATGAAAGACAATGACGCATAGAAAGCCGCCTGGTGCGTCACGAAAAACAGCAACCACTTGGCAACTAAAAGACGGTTGAATTTTACTTCCCCCGTAGCTTCCTTTTCCTGCTCATCTCCCGGTCGATGCACACAGGAAAGCTTCTGGGCAAATTCAAAATTTCCATTATGGCGAAATAACGAAAACAAGGATGGGCATGGGCATCCCCCACTTCCATTAGTAGTAGCACAAAATCAATAACTCGTAACTTGGACTCAGTCTCACTTTGAGTCATTTGCGGTGCACGAAACAAAGAATTGTCGCTCGGATTTTTTTTTTGCGGTCTATTTTCTTTTCAGAGGTTCTTAATACCTATACTTTCTAGAACTGAGAATGTGTGTGCTTAATGGGTGGTTTGTTTGGTTAACTTAGCTGAACAAAACTTAGCCAACCCCAGAACAGTTATAGAGATTAAGTGAACCTTTGGCAGAACTTTTTGTGATAGTTAATAATACGGTTGAACTTTTTAAACTGTCATTTGTCTAAATCTAACTTTGTGAACTCGAAGTCTATGTAAGTCAAAATAAATATGTTGCATTTAAACCATGTATATAATTCAATAATAAATTAATTATAGTAGGCTCTTACTAAAGGTAATAAATTGGGACAAGCATAATTCTCTAATAATGAGATTTTAAACATGAAATTGTTTTAACTTCCCAGTAATAGGTGCAAAATAAGTAATAGGTACGAGTCGAGTATGTCCCAAAGACCAAACTAATACCAATTATAGTAATAATTGTTTCATTACTTCGTTAAGAATTGCTTCTCATTTTTCTATGTGTGCGTAAGTTTTTAAAGACATTGTTTAGTCTACCGAATCGCTGCTGAGTTTAATTGCTATTATTGCAAAAATATATGGATAACTTCCCCAATCAATTTGATTTTTATGTACAGTGTGTCTGCGTTATGTCCCGGCTGATTCAGCACGTCTCTGGTGGCTATTGACACCTGTAGACAGACATTAGTTTAGTAAGTTGAGCCTTGAACGACAGTTACCCTCCTCACATTTCCTGCTAGACATTTGCAATTTGTTTACAACGCTTTATTGTTGCGATGGTAAAAAAAAAACGATTATTCTGCTTTCGCATGATTGGGAAAACGAGTGCAAATAGAAAACCTGAAAGCTGCTCATGAACAAGGGAACTCTATCAAGCTTTGTACCCCAAATACAAGTCCAGACACAACGGCATTCAATTGTTTATTTTTTTGATCCCAGTTTTCTGTTTTCTTACCTCTGGATTTTTTCTGTTCCTACTTGAGTTCATTGTTTCTCCATTGTCTGCCGTGCTGTCTATGTTGTCTGGTCCTGTCTCGCGAAAGTCCAATCAACTTTGCGCTCAGACAAAAACACATCTGCTACCTTAGAAAGAGAAGAGATAAAGTGCCATTAAGACAAATTTACAACATTGGTCCAAACAGCTTTGCTTTAATTGCTAAGAATTGCTAAACTTGAGTTAAGCCAAATAAGTATTTCATTAGGAAGTCAATAGAAGATAAATGCCAGGATATAGGCTCCCAACATTTTTTACTATCGGCTTAAAATCTGCAAAAAATGCTGTTACATCCCTTATAGAATTAAAAGTATAACTGGATTTTACTCGGTTAATGATTACTTGCGCTACTTCATGTACAATTTTTTTAGAATCTAACGAAATACGAAAATGTTGTGTGTATTAATGGGCATTCAAGTGTAACAAACATATAGGTATATAAATTGTATCCAAGTATATAGCCACAATTACGTATTAGTGTCGTCATGCCATTTGCCTACATCTTGATTAGGTTCAACTGGTTTAAATGTAAGATTATTTTCATATTGAGTTACATGTTTGTGTGCGCTTTAGCCTTCATTAACTGTGCTTATAATAAACCGCATTTAGCTTTGTTTACTGCCCTTAAATAACGACTGACCTTGGTGTTCTGCAAAGTTGTATCTGCCTGTGAAACTTTCTTTAGCTGAATATGTACACTTAAAAGTTCTTTAATTGGATAAAAAAGATCCAAGATAATTAACATATTTTGCTGAAAATATGTTAAATGTTCTTATGAAAGAGGAGAATATTTTTCAACTATTATATTTTGCGCACTCAAATTCATTTAGATTTTATCAGTAAAAAATTTATTTGGCACATTTCAAGGCTACAAGTATTCCCACCCAGTCATTTATAGTCGCACTTATGAATATAGCAATTACATGAATTTATGAGTCGAATTTGTCATAAGTAAATATTTTTGTTTGGGAATGTCACAAGGCCAATTTAATTTCATGTGTAATATGTATTTCACTGTAAAATACAACTGTCTTCAAAATAGTAGTAATACGACCATACAAAAAAAATTTAAGACTTTTGTAATGTTTTTATTATTAAATTTGAAATACTGTTAATTTTTTTTGTTATTTTTTTTTAACAGTGCAGTCAAAAATTTTAACTAAAGTACAATACTGATTCTATTATTTCTTCCGTCATTGTATTTGCACAGCAAACCTTTTAAAGAGCTTTAAATATGCAGCAGACTGTAAAATCATTTTTGGTGTGAGTAAAGGGGGCATGGGGGGCAGAGAAGCAATCTCTCCGAGTAAGCGGTTGGAGAGATGTGCGTCATAGAGGGGGCCGTACAAATGGCCGGCGTTCAGTTGACAATCGCCAGTCGATAGCAAACCATGAGAGAGTGCTCATCGCGCAGCAATACGCGTCTACTTAGTTCGGTAATCGTAATCGATCAACGTCTCAGAATCGACACTTGTCGATATTTAATCGAGATCCTATCCCGCCGCATCACAGGCGATTAAAGATAGGTAATTTTTATTTATTTGCCTGCGGGATGAGAGAACCATCTTTCAGTGGTCTCTAATAACTGAGTGAAGAGAGTGATTTTTGCGATTCGCGGATAAAATCGATTAGCGTCGTAGGTGCGACACCTGTCGATATCTAATCGGATTTTAATTTCACTGCATTACAACAAGCCCCATCGTAATCAGCAAATAATCATTGCGTTTGCATTAGCGCTTTGAAATATATAGCAGTATATAGATTTCGTGTTTGTTTGTGTGACTTTTCAATTTCGCCAAGACGCAAAATACAAAAAAATACATTGCATAAGTCACAAGTAAAAACCGACTGGGAATAGTATCAACAAAAAGTGTTGTTGTTCAACGTCTCATGATGTGGTAAACACGCAGACAAGTAAATCTAGTATGTACTAGTATGTGCTAGGTGCATACAAACAGCAAGTGAAAGTTTTTTGTTCTATCAACAAAAAGTTCCTTCTCTTCTTTTTTTGGCACCCGGTTCTTAATTAGTTCCACGCGTGTCTATTTCATTTGTTTTTCCATAATGGATTCCTCTATACGTACATATATAGTATATACCATATTGCGAATTCCTTTTCCCGGTAACAATTGTTGGGCGAATTTCAATGGAAAACTGCTCGCCTACTATAGGCAAAAATGCAAAAATAAACATTTTGCGACCGGTGCTATCCATAAAAAACTGAATATTTGCTTAAAGAATTATCGCAGTTTTGTAGATATGCACGAATGTACATATATACATATGTGGTATACATATTATACAATCATTATTCTGGCTCTGTCTATATTTGTGAACTCATTTAAAACACATGATTTTTCACGTTCAACAACGGTATATAAATAATGTAAATGTTCTTGGAAATAAGCTGAAATTATCGGATCGCTTAGGCAGCGGACGACCGACCCACTTTAAATGTGTCTACAAGTTTTAAAATATCCACTTGAATGATTTCCGTAGCATGTGTTTTCTTTTCTGTCCAAGATAAATGTCGACTGATTAAAGATTTCTTTTGGCTAGTACACCACTGACTATTTATTGGGCATTTTTGTTTTCGGAATCTTATCAATCTTATTAAATGATATGATTGAATCAGACAGTTCTTTAGTTAACTGTCTTTTTCCATTATTAATATATTATTTTCACCAAACCGTTTTGTATGTTCGTGAAACTCGTGGCTGCTTATATAGTCTGTTCATACATTGTGTTTGCAGAACTTATTTCGTATAACATTAAAATAATATTGCTCTCGTTTTTGTTATCGTAATTTTTCCTTCCCATATTTCTCATTTAATTCGTGAGAGTGTCCCCTATAGCATTAGAAGTCGATTTTTTTTATATTTACAAGAATTTAACAAATATTTAGAAATTTATAGTTCGGTTTGTTTTTAAAGTCGGTTGTTTCAAATTTTTCAGAGTCTAAAAGTCAAATATTTTTAGCAACCCAATGGCTTGTGTCACAAATTTTGATTATACTCTAACCCAATTTTTTTATATACATTTTTAAATTTAATTTGGCTAATATATTTCATTTTTTTACAGTTGGTTAGACCTGTTCCCACATCTATGGAGTTTCATCTAGACAGTGCAGAATACTGCCAGGCACAGCACAAATAAAAAGTAAGTATGAGTTCTTTTTTCAGAGGATCTGGACTTTTTGTTTAATTAATTGGCTGAAGTTGCGCTGGTGGGTGAGTGGGAGACGATGGAAAGGTCACTTGACTTAACTTACTGTGAATTAAACGCGATGACCTTTCTGGAGAATTGGCGGCTTGACCCGCCCTCAAGAATAAGAGCGTAATGGAAAGTGTGAGGCAAAAATGGCGAAAGTCTCAATTATTTCATTGCGTGTAATTGAGCTAAATTGTGTTTTAGTTTCCCACGAATTGTTTTCAATTGAATGAACAAAGGGAAACCCAACAAAGAAGCTTGAACCGACTAGCACCAGATTTGTCTGGAATTCAACTCATTTATGCCTTGTTCTTTGCAGGTAAGCAATCCTCAAACAAGGCGGTGATAGCCTGAGTGAATACGGTCACCTCTTCGGAAGTCGACGTCGATAAGTGGTGTTGATCAGATCAGCTAAATAAAGTCAACGGATCAGCTGATATAGCGACAGCAGCGGCCCCAATTAGCCAAAGTCTGTCAATCTATGGGAGAGAAAGAAAAAAAACTACATTTTTAGCATCGCGGTGATCGCAGATCATATCACAGCACGAAGACATTTTAATTTATAACAACGAAAGCTAAGAAAAAGTTATAACAGTTTCAAAAACGATAGTAAAACTGAACCCAAATCATTTTTTGTTAGCTTAAAAAAACGTGTGACACTTAACAGGGAATCATTTTTCGGGTCACAGAAAATTGATTGATTTTCTTTGTGATAGAAGAAAAATCCAAAATTGTACTTAATTAAAAGAAATACCTTCATTTTTACTTAAAGATTAGATTAGGTTTGTGTTTTGGTGTAAAATATTTAGACGTACGATACGAAAACAGAGTTAATTATACTTATATTTATTTTTTATACATAACTCAAAACCTAAACAAAATTCAATTGTAAGCCTCTAACACGCTGAATTTTTAATCTAGAAATCAAACTACTTCCGTTAAAAAAAAACCAATCAAATCTTTTGTGAAAACCAAACAAAAACCACACCTCAAGATTGTAAGAAAGTAACAGACTTAACATAAGTACACACGAGTCAGATAAACTCCTTCAGAACTGCTTTTGTAATTGTTTATGAGCATCACCATGCGTCAAAAAGATCTGCGCCCAGCCCCTGCTCTAATTGAGTACAAGGGCATGAAGTTCCTAATCACCGATCGACCATCAGATATAACAATTAGTCATTACGTTATGGTGAGTCAGAATCTCAATCGTCTCAATCCGAAAATCAACTAATTTCGTTACCGTTCTTGTAGGAGCTAAAAAAGAACAATGTCAACACTGTGGTTCGTGTGTGCGAGCCCAGTTACAATACCGACGAGCTCGAGACACAAGGCATTACTGTCAAGGACCTGGCCTTTGAGGACGGAACCTTCCCGCCTCAACAAGTCGTTGACGAGTGGTTTGAGGTCTTAAAGGATAAGTAAGTAACATCATAGCACTTCTTGCATTTGCGTAGATTATTTACTTAATTCTATCTTTAAATTTTAATCTCATTTGTTACATTAACGTAAGTCATTTGTTTAGATTTCACAAACTAACTGGAGCTCTGAACTTATTAATATAAACGTGCTGTAGAATTTCTCATTACTAAAAATTTACTTAAAATGCATTTACCTACATAAGATGTAAAAATATATACTATGAAAATGTAAATTCCAAAATGTGTCTATAAATATTTTGAATTATCACCCTAGAATCACAGCTCCAGTACGAATATTTTCATTACTAAGCAGCGTTAAAACATTTAAATTTAAATTGTATTATTTCATTAAAACTATCATTTTCAAGATGTCATATATTATATTATATACGAGAATATAAAAAAAATGTAACCTCAAGTGGTTTCTATCAATTTATTCAGTATTATTTATTGCTTTGTGCCACTCAATCAAAAGAAAATCAACATTATTAAATTCCAAACAAAATAAAAGCCAACGAAAATCAATAAGCTGCGCTAGCAACATACCCAATGTGCTGTTTAAAAAAAAAAACAAATAACCACACAATTAAAGAGAAGAACATTCAGAAGATGTATAGAACCCCGCTTGTAGTCCTCAGCCATTGCCTTAGCTGCTTAACTCTGTTTGATTTCCAGTGCCCATAAGTTATAAGTTGCTGTACAGATTTTAGTTAGATCAAAACTTTTGCACATACCTTCTATCATACCTCTCTCAACGTTTTCGTTTTGTAAAAATTTGGAATTCCACCCATCATAAGCAAAATGTAATACCTGTAAGCTATCAAACTTATTGAATGAGAACTTACCTTACCTTCCTATATGATTCGTTTCGTGTGCTATTTTATGATACCGCTGCTGCTGTGCCCTAGTTTTAGAAAGTCCACAAGCGCCACACTATCCTACTACAAACATAAGCGATTTTCGCTCAGACACATACCAAAAACAGTTCCAACAACAACAGCAACTGCAACTGCAATAAGAACTTCAGCAACCAGAGCCAGTCTATCCGCAGCATCAAGTCGGGCCACAGATACAATTCCCCTAACAGTCAATGATAATCTCAATGAAACTGGCGAGGCAGCATCAGCAATTTATAATAATACTGCATTTGTTGATAATGAAACTTGTCGGTAAGCGTAGATCTAGATTTATAGGCTCAGCCTAAAGCAAATTTCGCATATTTCTAATTGCAGTAAGATTAGGTATAGGTTTTAAACGTAATTTATATAACATTTTCTTGTATTTTCCAGATATCAACAAAATCCGGAGGCTTGCGTTGCCGTTCATTGTGTGGCTGGTTTGGGACGAGCTCCTGTCCTGGTTGCATTGGCACTGATCGAATTGGGCCTGAAATACGAGGCAGCTGTGGAAATGATTAGGGAGTGAGTACTCTACTCTATCTAAGTTAAAATTTAATGCTTACTTAATATTCATATTTTTCTAGTAAACGACGTGGCGCCATCAATGCCAAGCAGCTATCCTTTTTGGAAAAATACAAGCCAAAGGCGCGACTAAAGCACAAAAATGGCCATAAGAATTCATGTTCTGTGCAATAGATTTCCAAAACCATATGTATATTCCCACCAGATAAAAAGTGTTCATTTTTTCAAAAACAAAAAAAGCAAGCGGACAGAAAAGTAAAGAAAATATGAATTGATAAGCAACAAAGCGAGAACGGAAATAAACAAGTACTACAGAGAACCCAAAAAACATAGTCGGAGAAATTGAATCACAGCCCCAGTTATTATTAACCTCAAATCTCAAAATGAAATGTATTGGCAACAATTGTGTAATTTGTATGTATTAATTAATGTAAATTATTGTTATTTTACGATTCGATTCAGCCGCCCTGTACCAAGCTAAAAAAAGAGTTTAATTTTGTACCTACAGCATATATAAACGGACTTATACGCATATATATTTAATTATGAGCGGCCCATATACCCCATTAAATGGTTGTAGAAGGCTCGTCAAAGTAGTTAAATACTGTTGTTCTGGAAAAGACTATTCAGGATAAACAAATTAATTAAATGTTAAATGAAAAATCAGCATACAAAAAAGAAATGATTACAAAATTCTTCAGAGAGCTATCTTCATAAAAAGTATAGGGTGAAGAAAATGAAATATCTACTTAACAGTCATATGTCTAAACGGGAAAATGTACTTAATCGCATATTTGTTTGCTGTTTACTTTTTTATTTTTACTGTGGACACTTTTTAGCTAATAACGAAGCAAAACATATTGCTAAATAGATATTTGATTTTTAACTTACCTTATGCTAAATTCATTTATTTATATTAGAGCCTTCTTTTCATATGCTACACATATTGCTTATTTCAACACTACAATACCAATCAGCCTCGCACTTGTATGCATTTATCATATGCATGCATGTGTGATTGAAAAATATAAAGCTATATATATTAATAAATATATATATGTATTAAAGAACTTCAAAGTTTTACATTAATGACTACATACATTCAAACTCAACAATTGCAAGCAGTAACCAAGCAAATAAAAAAAATACTTCAAAACAGCAGTAGGAAAAAAAAAAATTGAGAAAATGAACATGAAAAAAAAATGTAATCTTATTGTAAACAACAAATTAACAAATAATAGTGTGTGAGAAGAGGACGATGAAAAAGCACGAAGAAAAAACACAAGCCGAAAATAAAAACAAATACAATGCTTACAAAATAATTTATCCAAAATATTGAATTGTAATTTTTTAAAATGTTAGTCATTACAAGGAAATAAAAATGATCTATATAAAAATTATTCAACCTTGAGCATTTAATTAAGAAAAGATGTTTTGTCTTTGATACATGTCTTTTATATTTTTGTTCAATATAAGAAACTTTTTAAAGTCGGTTTTTCTTTTTCAGTTTTAAGAATGACGAATTGTGGAAGTAGCATATTTTTTATTTCTAGGTACCAGAGAAGATAATACTCCACTTTTCCAATCGTTCCATTAATTATTTACTTACCTTTAAAATATATCGAAACAACATTGAAAGACTACAACATATTTGTCGACGATTATTTCATTTATTTTTCTAAGGAAATTTAAAATTTTTATCGTTTTTTAGTTTAAGTGGACATGTCATATACATTGTGTATACGTGTCGAAGTTTATTAAAATGTGATTAAAAAGAGTCATAAACTCATAGAGATGAACATGAACATTAATTGGACGATGAACTTGAAGCAAATCCACGTATACCATTAAGACTAGATTTTTATGTAATATTTTTTTTTATACATTTTACAACGTTTAAACACTCCAAAAAATAAATGTTGTATTAGTAATTCAGTTTGTTTAAAAAATTACATTTAATAGTTAACTGTTTCCTTTCATTTTTTCATTCATCCTTGCATCTTCTCTCAGCTTTAAAAACGCCGTTTTCATTTTGATTTCATTTCCTTGAAAATAATCTTAATTTAACATGTCTTCTTTATAATGTTACATTTTTTGTTTTTTGGTTTCTATGCATAAATTCATAAAGTTCATAAATTGATTCCACATTCGAAATACGATACAAAGGCAATTAGGTTTTGGTATTCATTTTAGGTTTGGTTTTCCGTTTCATCTTCTGTGTAAAACACGCTAAAGTTTTTCGACTAAGAGTAAGGCCTGAAGAAAGCAGTAAATTATAGATGGGTTTTCGAACTCAGTATTGAACAAGTATTGTATACTTTACAGGTGGTCCTAAAATTGGTTTTTATAAATCTGTGCGTTAACTTTTGCAGTTTTTAAAACATTATATTTAACAAAATACACCTTACAAAACTAGAGGAAAACATATACAAAATGTTGCCATGTTCACATTAAATATTATCTGTTGTAAACCGTATGAGGTTGTGTACAAAAAAGAAAACCATATTTTTTCTTTTCGGCTTTAGACAAAAGGAAGAAATATTCCCAATAACGTAAGTATTTTGTGTCTTGTTTTTAATTCTTTCATCGCCAGTTGTATTTTCATATTTATACGTTTTTATTGTTGTAAAAAATCAACTAAGTTTTATAAAATTACAAAAATAATTGTCATTCGAATTATTTTTGTTCGCATTTACTAATTTTTGCTAATTTATTCATTTAATATTTGGCATTGGTTGCACCATATTAATCTATCAAAATAGTCAGTGAAACGTTGGTTTTTTTAGGCGTTAGGTATGTATGTATATAAAAAAAACGTAGCTTTCTCTAATATTCTAAGAAACTATTGAAGGAGTAGCTTGGGGACAAGGGAACTCATCGTGTGAAAAGGAGTTACTCCTTTAAAATGGTTGGTCTTTAAGTTTCCTCTTCTGTTAGCAGCAGCCTCCATCAATTCACTACATTTATAAAGTAAAAACCAGTTTCATAACTTTTGGCGCAGTTTGTAAGTCTAAGAGTTGAAATTGTTCTTGCTTATAGTGGTTTTTAGTACCGAAGATTGTGCCAGTTTTTTCTTTGGTTTGTGTTGTTGTTAAACATTCGACAAGTATTGGACTACGGCATAGTTTACAATCTATAGAAAACCAAAAATATATTTATGTATAAACAACAAACCGATCCTACTCGCTTATAGTACATAATAGTTGTATAATATATAGTTTTGTGTACATATCCCTCAACGCATAAAGCTGTGCGTCAGGTAAAACATTAAAATTATGGTCAGCGGCAGCAGCTGAAGCGTCAAACCCAGCCGCGAGGCATTGCCGCAATAGGTGTACAGTTCCTCCTAGAAATAGAGGAAAGATTTTAGGATTTCAAAAATTAAAAATTAAAAAAAATAAAATACAAATTTAAAAATTAAATAGAGAATCAAAAACGAACTTTTAGAGTTACAAACGAATGCAGAGAAGTCCAGGGTTGAAGTTTTATGAGAAGTAGAAATGAAAATCCCTCAAAACTTTAAAAATAGTAAAAATCAAAATTTTAATTGGAAAATAAATAGAGAATTTTTAGAGTTACAAACTAGATCAGTTAACAAGATAACAAACATATCAAAAAATCGAGTTTTGGATCTAACATTTAAAGCGACATGAGAAAGATAATAAACATCTCGAAAAAAATATCTTGAATTCATGAAATAGTGTTAATATCAGTAGAGAATTGGGCAACAAATTATAAAAAATATACATCTCCAGTACTCACATCCTCGTGCTCCGTGTAGCACTCTTCGATGCGTCGCCGTTCGTAGAAGCTCATGTTGAGCTTGTAGCAGGGGAATTCCTTCGCGTACTCCATCCGCTGGGGTTCGGTGGTCAGGCGAACGCTGCGCGACGGCATCAGGACATTGACCACCACCAGGACCAGGTTGGAGTTGGGGATCTTCTTGACCAGGAAGGGTCGCGTTGAAGGCGCCTCCACGAAATCATTGATGCCCACCAGAGCACTGGGCTGCAGTGAGTACAGAGTGGATCGCATGTCGCAGGCCTTGTAAGTGGGTTCCGGTTCGGGTTCATCGAACATGGCGTTTTCATCGTCGCTATCCTCCTTTGGCTTGGAAGCCGAAGCTTTTCCTCCATCGCCCACGGCCACGTACTCGTCCTCGATCTCATCCGTATATTCCATAACTGAAAGCGGTCATCAAACCAGCTATAGTTTTAGTTTTAAAAAGTCAAGGTACGTAGGTCTTATAAGCAAACTTTACAGAATGAGAATTTTAGCTCAAATACTTAATTACGAATATATTTTGCAGTTTTGATGAAATCTTTTCTGGTCAATAAAAGTAACTCAAATTGCAAACACTTACATGGCGCTCCATCAGCCCACCACTGAATCCTTTGGTACTGAAAGAAGAGCTGGCCCACTAGCCACTTCCAGCCAAGACTCAATAGTCGAAGGGGCTTAAATAAAATATAGTTAAGTTAAATAACAGGTATTAAATACATTTTATGACATACATGTAAGAGACCATGGCCATAGCTGCCCGCTTTTGGCTCCTCCTTGCACTGCTCTTGGTAATCGTAGACCTCGATGCTCAGGAAGATGCCCTTTTCCACCATCGCAGACATCACATCGCCGTGGAATTCCCCGAAGAACTTCCCAGTGGTGTTCACATTCTGGCCAATCACGATATATGCATTATTGTCTATAACCACACAATCCACATCATCGTCCGTGCAGATGGGTAGGCAACGGTCGCACTAAAAAAAATTTAGTTAATCTTGTTTAGTAAATATTAGTTTAGTTTTTGGTTATAAAATTGTAAAACATAAATAGTGTTTAATTTTAACAAGACCTTTCAATTCTATAGTATTATAAATGTAGCTATACCAAATCCACAAATTTTTTTGATAATTAAAATAATAAATAAATAATGAATAATGAATGAAATAATGAATGACATATTGTTAAGCAATAAAGTATACAAAAATATAATATAATATGGTGACGGTAGAAATTGTTTCTTAACTGAACGAATATTTATGCTATACAAATATGTCATTATCAGTAGCTTTTTTTTTACACAAAAATTGTGAAAATATTTAAATGATACACATCCATATAATTTAAAAGTTTGTCTGTAATGGACCTAAATGAAATTTATATCGAGTGTTTTTTACACTCACATGATCCACTGAGGTGATGCTGAAGAATCGCTCCCACATGCGTTCGTGAACAAACTGGAAGCCCACCACGCAGGCGGGCGCCTCCTTGCCGCCATCTCTTGGAAAGATTGCGTGCGAGGCGGTGACTTTGACCTTGTCGCCCTCCATGGGATCGTCGTAATGCTTCACCGAGTAGACGAAGCTCTCCGTTCGATCCTCGTGGTGCTGCAGGATGGCACTCTTGTACCAGGTCTCATCAATGGCTGTGGTGTGGTAATCCCCAAATTCCCGATCCGTGTCCACCTCCTCTTCGCCCAAGATGAACTGCCATCGTGTCAAGCCGCTCATGGTGGCCACAAATCGGAGATCAGCACCAAAACGATCTAACAACTGGCGCTCCTCTTCGCTCTCAAATCGCCACACTCCGTAGCTGGAGTTCGTCACCTTGGCGTCGAAGATGAGAAGGTGCACCAGCTCCTTGTTGCAATAGTAGGCATCGTCACCCAACGTCTTTCGGCCACAATTTACTGGGAAAAAAAAGGGTCATATTTATGTCAGGAGACTGGAAATTAATAACGAAGGATAACTGACCTAACGGTTCCCTTCTGTAATGTAATGCCTAAATTTATTACAAATTTCTCTACTTACATTCATCTTTGTCATCCCAATCGGATTCGTCCTCGGCATATTGCTCTGGCCACTTCCAATCGTTTTTGACCATCTTGCCCAGAAACTCGCGCAACTCAGCCTCAGGTGTTTTGAACTCATGACCCTCTAGATAATGGTACTTGCAGTAAACCCTATGAAAATTGATCAAATTTAGTTGATCTAATTTCTACAAGATTCAACATTTTACCCACCAATCAGGATGAACCTTCCAGTTGTCGCCGATAAAGAAATCCGATATATTGATCTTCATGTGCTTGTTCTTGTCCACCTCCTCGCCCACCTTAATCCAGGTTTTGCCATATTCGCTGGGCATTACGATGCCCAAAGTGAACGGGGTGTTCGGCAGAGGGGCAAAGAAGTAGTCCTGTTTCTCCTCGGAAACGCGGCGCATTTTGTCGTAGTGGAACTTGACGGATATGCCCTTGAACTCATTACTTTCGTGTCGCACCATGGCATTGCGAATATTAAGAATGGATTCGCCCGGTTCCCGCGGATTCTTGTCCTCGAAAAGATGCTCTACTTCGCTGAAGTCGATGCTGTTGTAGTTCGGATTCATTTTACCATTGGTCTAGGGAAAGAAATTCGAAAATAATTGTAAAAATCTAAAATTCAATCAATTGCAATCAAACTTTATTGGCTAAACTTACCCCAATGGGTCGCAGATCCGGATGCAGTAGAACATATCCGTTGTTGGAAACCACAAAGGAGTAGCCATTTACACCAAGCTGAAAAATATTATTCATGAGTAACCCATACTTTTTTGGTTAAATTCTCTTCACCCACTTTGTAGGGTAGTGTCAGCTTGTCAATATCTTCCACGGGAACGTCTGTACCAGCGACTCCTAACAAACGTGCCCTTGGATTGGTAGTATTGGCGTGGCGATAGAAGCGATCGAAGGCGGGTACTCCCACTGCTATCATAAGGCGGGGTCGTCGTTCATTCGAGGTTTTTGGATCGTACTGTTTGGGAAACAAAACAACAATGTTAATCCTAAGAAAGATAGATGGTCATCCATAGATCTTGTTTCAAGTAAAATACTTTAAAGTAACTTATACTACATATACTATTATACTATACTATATTATAATAATAACTATTTTTAAATCAACGGACATCCTAATGGAATTCCTGAACAAATAAAAATGATTTATTATATATTTAAATCATAATTCTTTACAAAAACATATTTTATAATATTTTACATAAATTTTAAGGTAGAGGTGTTGAAAAGAATGTGTTAATGCCCCCGAAAATCGAACAATTCTTTTGCAACCACAGTTTAAAAGTGAGAAATTTCTGTTCTGTAGACTAAGCACTGGTTTTTAAATTGAAAACATAAAACTAAAATATTACGTTCTGTTCGGAAAAATATAGTGCTTAACAAGATTCTTGTAAATAAATATTCAGCTTATTTTGCAGAAAGTATGCAATCAATTTTTGAATTTTACTTTGTTTTTGGAAGTTATATTTAATAATATATTTGTTATTTAATATGTTGTTCTATTCAGAAACACGTCAGTTGATCTCACAATAATGTTGACGACTCTTTCTGTTTATTAAAACTATTCGATTTAACCAACTCACCGTCTTGTCGGTGAAGGCGTGCGTCCAGGTGGGCGGATGCTGTTCATTCTGTAGGACCAGGGGCGTGGCAATGACGTCAACGTACTTGAGCACCTCCTCGTGAACCTCGTCCAAAGTTTGGACATGAGAGTAGTATCCCCGATTGAGGCAGGCCATCCACTGGATCTCGCGCACTTTGGTGACCTCTTTGCCCAGCAGATAGGTAAACACGCGAGTGTTCATTCGCGAGGTGCCGTTCTCGCCGTTGCCCCAGTTGTATTTCTGAAATACATCGGTGGTATTACCTGCCACACCATCGGTGACCAGCATTATGGCCTGGTTGCAGGTGGAATTGGTGCTGCAATGCCGACTGTCGTAATAGGTTCGCAGGAGTTGGAAGGCCGTTTCGTAGGCCAGAGTGAGATTTGCATAGCCCTCGGGATCCTCCAAATTGGCGATGGCCTCGTTAAAGACCTCTATGTTCTCGGGCGTGGCCTGGACGAGGGCTCCATTAAAGCAGGGTATGATGTCATCCACCTCCTTCGAGTAACGCAATATGGTGAAGAAATCGTTGTTGGAGAAGGTGTCCAAGATACTGCGGATGGTGAACTTGGCCACGTGATGTCGGAATCCAGTCATTGAACCCGAGTGATCCAGCAGGATGACGATATCCTTCGAACAGGTGGCCGTCTCAATGTACCAGGATCTCTTTCGGCAATCGTAGGTATCGGCATCGTCTCGATTCGTTTTGGTGTCTGTCCATTGGGCAGCCGGATAGTGCCGCAGGATTCCCGTGTCGGAGCCAAAGTACTGCCAGGATAAGGCCGGATCGGACTGGTAGTTCTGCCGGAAGACCTCGTCCAGCTGCTCGGACCACATGATGGTCTTCAGCACCCGATTCGAACGATCCCACACATTCGAGGGCACATGCACCGAACTGTGCTCGGTGTCCACCGGTGTGTTGTAAAAGTGAGTGTCCGGATTCAAGTCCATCTCTCGATACATCCAGGCGTACTTGGCCTCATTCGGCTCCAGCTCGTCGGAACTTTTATTATCGAAAAGCGAATACTTGCTGGATATATAGGTAAAATTCTGCAGGGCATAGGTGCTATTGAACTCAAAGTTCTCGTTCACATATTCCGCCCGTTCCTGGATGCACCGCACCGCCTCCATCTTTCTGGCCAGCATCCTGCCCACGTTTTTCGTGATCGACTTGATCAGCTCGGTGCCATTCTTCAGCTCCACGCGGGCATTGTACTCCTTGTACTTCTCCTTGATCTCCTGCGACTTGGTGATCTTCTGAGCCAGCTGGAACAGCTCGTCGCCAAACTGGGTGGCCCATTTGCCAACGCTGCAAGGAAGCGGAAAAAACTCAGTAAGTATTATTTAATTGGTTAGGGAGAGATCGTAAATATATATTGAATATATAAAATAAAAGAAAATTTAAACGCCTATTATAATCTCCGCTTGAAGATGATTGTATAATTCAATAAAACATTTAAAAAATGTAATATTTGAAATTGTGAAACTTAATTAGACCTTGAACCCTTAACCCATAATTAATCTTGGTTTCATTGCGGTACACGAAAACACAACCCAATTACGATGTTTCCTTCTGAAGTAAAATTCTCATGAACGAAAAACAACAGTAAACAACACTTTGTCGACGTCAGAGTTGCGAAAGCGAGATGTCAACCACCTGTCCGAGTCCCACTAATTCAATTAGCGCACATGTTTGCCAGTGGCGTGTAGGGGCGTGTTTGGCGGTGGGTGGTGGGCTGTGGTTTTTGTGGGTGGTGTCTCGGAAACGCCTTCCTTGCACCTTACACTCCTGACCACAAAAGTGGTGAAAAAGCCGTATTCCTGGCAGCGCAGTCGGCGTTTCACCACAAACAGCTGTTTGAAGTTGAGAAATCAACAAGTGCCTGCGCGCGCAGTATCGATCTCTTTGACTCTCTTCGCTGCCTCTCTTAAGAAAGGCTTTCTCTTAAGTATATATCGTGTTTTCGGGTGATTCCATCAGTTAACGCATGCAATAAGCAATAAATAGTTTAATAGATAGATCGTAAAAGTTCAGGGGTTAAGTTGTTCAAAAAACGACTGCATAACGTAGTGGTATAAACTTTTATATGTTTTTAGTTGCTTTTAAAAGTTGCATACTTCTATTATTTACTCTACCGTCCTTTGATAATTACTGGATGTCTTGAATTTAAGGATTGACAGTGTTGATTATTGAACTACTATTAGTTGCATTTGCTAGAACCTATATTAAAAGCAAATAAAACATGAATACTAGTTTTTAAATTGGACCTAAATATTTCACCAAACTTCTATAACTTATTGCATTATTTAAATGTTCCCTTTATTCCTAATAAAGAATTTTAAAACAATGTCTATTAATTTATTTATTCATAAGCTATAATGGTCATAAAAAATATAAAGATTAAATGAAATAGTTTTTAACAACCAAAATTAAATGTTTATATCCAATGTCTGGGCAGAAATGTATTGTTATGTAGCAGCCCTCGTAATTTTAGTAATGGTATAATCATGTTTGAAGCTTCTCTTATGTGGTTAGTGTATTTTAGAAATCACATTAATTATTTAGCCTGCAGCGCCTAGCCAAATGCACTGGCCTGACAACAGTTTGCGTGAGAGTTTAGCATTTACTATAAACATTTAAAGGCATTGGGGTGCCTGCGCATGACCGCACTATATCATCCAGCTCTTTGGCTCTTTTTCGAGGGCGGGAGTCTCTTGACGTAGCTTTTGATGTCGCCGACTCTGCCGGCGGCACTGTTTCGGCCATTTTCATTTCACTTCTGCCGCCGACGTTGCCTTTGACACAGTTATTCCGCCAGCCCCCAAAGCCCCCAAAGCCCCCCGAAATAGCCTCAAACGCACACAAAGATACCCTCAAGTGTTTTGGCCCGGTCGGCGCTGGGTAAAATTGTTTTTGTCGCTGTTTTGGTAGTTGGAAATGAATGATGCCTCCTCTCTGGCTTTTATTACGTTCTGGAGTTGTTCTATTAATTTGGCCACATAGCTTTGTCGTATCTCGTCCCTCATTGTTTTAGATGGCCCCTGTTAGCCTCGACCACAAAAAACGGGAAACATGTAACACAAGCACTCGGGGGAAATATATTATTTACAGTGGGTCAGAGAAATCTCTTCCAACCAAATATAAATTCTCTGTGTCACAGACACTTGAAGAAGATGTTTAAAAGAAATTAAATAATCGTATTTTCGATTCCAGTATATTATAATATTTGAAGAAACACTTTTCTAATTTATCTTTTTGTATCGACAATTGCATTTTGTATAAATTAAGTATAAGTCAGAGAAAAAACCAACTTCATTTTTTTAATGGAATAAAAATTGTGGTATTTTTTATTTGACAAATCTCCAAAAACACAAAAAATTCACCTAAAAAATTGGTTTTTCTTCAAAACCTCGGGAAAAAATATTCATTAAGTGGAATGTTATGCACTGGCGAATTCGTCATTAAATTCCCAATTAAATGGCATTTACAGCTAAAATTTTTGTAGTTTTTCAAATTTTTGCAAAAAATTCCATAAATTGGTCATAAAGTTAATTTTTACCAAAATATGAAAAAATGACTTAGCTTGAGACCAGCAGGAAATCAGAAAAAGTGTAGCAGACAACAAGTTTTTATTTCCGTGCACAGATTTCAGCCAAACACAGTATCAGCAATGTTTTAAATTTTAGATTGAATTTTTATTACGGTTTCCTCGGGCCTAAATAGCCATATTCTATTAATGCTCAGCATGTTGCAATGCGCCAAAAAGAACCCAATTTCCCATTAAATATTCTTCGTAATGCGAACGGACATAAAACGATTTTCGGTCTGTGCTCTTTTCCAGGCCACAATTCTGTGGCTATTTAGTAGCGCTAATTTGGTTGGCGAAATTTTATTTTATATGAGGGTTTTTGGTCTTTAATATTTTATTATTTATCATCCCATCGTGTAGTTTGCTAATTGGACATCAACTTTATTATAATTGATGCGGCCTTGCTAAACTTTTTATGAGTCATTTGTTTTTTCTTGCTGCTGAACTCAGATGTTTAGGGTTTTCTTTTGATTAAGGCGTATTTCTTCAAAGGAATATATATGACTTAAAAAAGAGGTACTAAATTATTATATTATTTTTCTGTGGGCTTTTAGCAATTACTCTAAGTAAAATTTTGGTCAGCACAGTGTATTATATCTTCTTTTAAATTAATTTCTTTTTCTAATTTTGTTTTTCCATTAAAAATTAAAATACTTTTGACTTATTAATGTCGCTAGCTTTTTCCAAACAGGCTTCCCCAAATCCCATATTTACTTTAATTAATTGCACAACGTTTGCCATGATGTTTGGCGGCCCATAACAAAATGTCCAATAAAATATTCATTTAGCGCAAATAGGCCTCAGATGTTCTACCGGCTCTACCTGTTCTCGTCATTACCAAAGTCAGCATGTCAGACAAATAATTTTAATGTGACTTTATGAGAAACTCGGGGCACAAAACAAAAATTACGAAGCACCGCGACCCTCGAGCAAGAGAAATATCAGGGAGAGAAAAATCTAGAGGAAAGGAATGAGTAACTGTGGGTAAAAAAGCTGACGCACAACGTAGAATAAAAGTGTACGAAAGAAAAGACAAGACGCTTAAACACGCAATGCGAAATGACGGGAAAAATAAAGATAAAGGGATTCGACCTTGATATTACCTCGAAAAGAAAATATAATTTAGAAAAACACTTAAAAAATTATTCTCAAATGAATTTTTTTTTACAGAATGCATGTTTGTTGCTATATATATATATATATGTTAAAATAGGTGGAATTATTTATATTATTGAATGTTCAATGAAAATAAAAGTTATATTTTTAAGATAAGTTGTTTCTAGAAGAAACCTCCTTTTTCTCAGCATGAATATAAGCCCTTTTTATCGCCCGCAGCACAATAAGCTCATTTAATGCCTACAGGGAATTTTTCCAAGAAGAAAAGAATGGAGCTCGAGGAGCGTCGGCTGCCAACAAAATTAGCATAAAATGTTCGAAAAATTAACGAGCGACGTTGACAACGAGATGAAGGCGGCATGTACGCCCCCTAATTGACTGGTTTCGAAAAGCCCCCGATTCCGGAATCCTTGCGTGTCCGTTTAATGTAAATGGCTGCTGACCAATTTCCACCTGCAGGGTGGCCGACTTACGCTTCATCCGCCGCCGAGGCCTCTGCCCAGTGGGGGGAGGTCGAGGGGGAGATGCCGCCATGCGGCCCGCAAATCAGCAACAACAACAGCGGCTGGGAGAGGAAAAATGCGGTCAAAATGACAGCGAAATGTGTCATCAACTTTTCGCATAAACCAAACATTTTTCTCGCATTTTCCTTGTTTTTTTTTTGTAGTTGCACAGGCGGCGGTTCGATTCGATTCTCACTGGTATCGCTGGTAAGGACTATATCGAGACATTTGGCCCCGTTTTGCGGTCAAGCGGGCAACACACACTCCGAAAAACCCGACAGAAACCCTTCAAAATTGATATACAATTTAGGGTGGAGTCGCAACGTCGACTGCGACGCCAGCAGAGCTTTCCTTTTCGCTCTTCACCACGCACACAAACACACCAACCGACACACGGAGCGTATGCGTAATACGAATAATAATAAGCGATAATAACTGCGATTAAGGCGAGCCCGTGGAAAACGCGATTCTATATATTTGGTTTTTGCCTCTGAAAAGTGGCCACGATTTTCGTAATTTATTTTCGTATTTTAGTTTTTCTCAGAGCTGCGTGCGTTGAAATTTTCTATATATAAACGGCGGGGCACCGAACGATTTGATTACACATATGGAACACACTGTCGTTTTTGTATATGTATATATTTGTGTGTGTGTATATGTGTATGTGGACGGGCGATTTATAATTTTCCGCGCTTTTCCTTTTTCCGTGCCACCGACGTCGAAGAGCTGCGAACAACTGAAAAATGGGAAAAACTTAATCGGATTTCTGGCATGCCCAAAGTGCTTTCTCTTCCTCTTGAATCCTGACCTCTCTCGTTGTCTCTCTTTGAAGAGAGAGTGCTATTTTTAGTGGCTCTTCTTGTTTACCTTTTGAATGAGGCGAACAGCTGTTCTCGTCGGTTTTCTTTTATCTATTGATTTAGCCATGAGGGAATCCGTTGAATTTCCCACGCGTCTTTCTTTGTGCCGCATATTCACAACAGAGAGGCGGCTTTTCCGCACATTTTCTGAAGAGTTCTCGAGAAGAGAATTATCGAGATTCTCACACCCCGAGAGTTTCAGGAATGATTTTCGATGCCTATGGATATTATTCATAGCTTTGTTGACTTAAGAGATTCGCTTTTTTTGGGGGAACGGTTTATTTATAGAGGTTTATTCGATGTTTTGTGGCAAGAATTTGAGAACTCAATTGTTATCGGTATTTGTGGCAGATGAGATGATTAAACTATATAGTTTAAGATCTTGGTGTAAAAAGCTTTTTTACGATATTGTTGTTTTTGTTTGAGTTTTGTGTTTAAGTATGAAAAACAAGTATATTTAAGTTACATTTATTGTCAATAGATAAGATCAATCAAATAAATTATCATAAACATGCCAATGTTTTCTAAGCATTCTTATGTTCTAATATTACATTAAGAAAGAAACAGAATATAATTGTAAATACATTTTCAATTTGTGATTAATTTAAGCATAAATTATGTTTTCAAGTTGTATATTAATGAAATGAATTTTACATCATTAAAATTCCCACTTGAGTGGTATCTCCCGTGGCGTATTTATTGCCGACTCACAACCATATGCTGTTTGCATATTTCATGAACCTCAAAAACATACTCTGGGGGCTATCATCTTGCCATAATACCGGTTCAACCATAGTGCCTGCGTTTAGCAACAAAATCCAATTTCGGTTAGGGCAAAAACCGAAAAAGCATAGACACACATGCGGAACGACAAAATTCAAGCTCGCCTATCGCACATCAGTAGCAGGCCCTCACCGAAACACCCGTGTATACACTCACAGGATTTCTGACAAGGACGTGCAGGATGCCAAGCACCAGTACACAGTTATGGGGAGACAGGGTCAGAGGTTGCCATGATGACGATGACAACGCACTTAGTCAAATTTTTAATGAACTCAACAGCGTTTTACTTTTACACAGAATGTCAGTTATGAACGCGCGGAGTTTGAGTTTTCCGACTTAACGATACCCGGTAGTCGCATCTTCTCTTAATTATTATTAAACTTGGTACTATTCTCTTTAAACAATTAACTGAAGATATATATAAGGAAATAATGAACGCTATAAACAGGTTTTTTGTATAGATTTACTATATTATAAAAAGGAACAAGGTAATTTAAACTACAATATCATAAATATTATATACCCGCTTACTATTAAAATTCCAGGTGTAAAAACAAGAACTGGAGGAGCGTGTGATTAAGGGCCCTTTTGGAGTGCAGTTGCCTGCAGTTTTCACTGGCAAAGGGTGGAATGCAAAAAAAAATATGTTCAGTAGTGGCATTTCAGGTATTTTTTCCCAAGCTTTGGCTACTGCAAGCTGGCTAAATTATGAGCATACTTTTGAGGGCGCCCGTCCTCCAGAACCTTCCATGATAATGTTCTCGTAATTGTGGCAGCCGCCTGTAGAACACGTATCTGCCGGATGAGAAGCTGGGATACTCGTGTGTGGTTGGGCGAACAGTGAGAAAAAGTGCCTAAGAATGGAAATTAAGTAATTCATAAATGAGGACTTATGAATGTTGTTTGTTTAATATTTCCTAGCTCATATAAATTTAATAGCCGCTACATTAAGAGGCATAAGTAGATCATATTAAAGAAATTAAGAACAGCATTTTAACTTTCTTTTTTTCTGTGTAGCTTACATTCTGTCACGTCTCACGGCACCTCCTCTTTTAGTATGGCACAAGTGGGGGCAAACTGAGGCTGGGAAAAACCGCAAAATGTTGGTTGTGCGCATTTCATCTGCATAAAATTATGAGCAGCCCGAAAACGAGGCATATTTTCCGCTACTGACTCTTCTTCGATAGATGGTTGAAGTGTTTTCCGAAGACTTCATAGAACTCACGAGAGCACACTTCAATTAGAGACGGATAGACCAGACAAAAATATCCAATCGAGTCGAACGCCTTGAAGCATATAATCAACTTTTGGCAATTCGAAACTTTTATGCCAGCCAAAAACTCCTTAGGGCAATTCCTTTGGCAATATTTCGCAACATCAACTTTCGTTTTCTTTTCAATTTTTCCACTATAGGGTGCTCATGTGATTTTATAAGCTACAAAAAACTAAAAATGTTTATAATAAAGGGTAAAGATAAATTTGTACGATCATTTTCAAGACCACGCAAATCGACAAAATCCACCAGAGATTAAACGTTGATTTTTTGGACCTCCCTGATTCTGAAAATGTCAAGTGTTCAAAATTTGTTGTATGGTATCATTTTTTAAATGCGTAAATAACGATAGCTAATTTTACTAGAAATAAAACGACCTTAAACTAGTGATAAGTAAACTTATCCTTATAACCTGTAAAGGAGAGTTGAAGAAATAATTAACGCTTTAAATTTTGTAAATATATTTTTAATACAAATTTTTGTTAACCTTATTTCTTTATCATCAGAGGACCCTGTGACCGTAAATTTCCTAAGAGCAAAACCTATTTGAGTTCGTCCTTTCACCTCCTGCTGCTATTGACTACGGTCACCATTGCAACACCAACAATGACAATGAAAAAGAAAAATAATACAAAAGAAATAAATACGGAAAAAACTAGGTTGACATCCAGTGTCGGTGCTATTTCCATTTTACTCTTTGGATTGGTGCCAATCGCGCAAACATTTCCCTTTGGTCGTTTGGTTTTATCCGTTATGTCAATTTTATTTAATATACTATAGAGACATATACACTTTAAACTTCACAACTGCCCACTTAGGTATATTTCAGTCTTTAATTAAAATTGTTTTGCTTTACATAATTAAATATATTCAGTTTTACTTAAAATGTAAATGCATCATATAATATGTTATTGATAAAATAAGTACGATTTTAAACTAATATGACCTTAACTAGTCATAGTACAAATAGGTGAGGCAAAAAGTCACAGAATAAATTTAGATAACATAAACACAATTGCTAGCATTTCTTCACTATAAATATATTAAAATCAAAAGCAACAATATTTAATGTTAACTATAAATATTTTTCCAGCTCAAGTTTAAAAACTCTCTATTTGTATATAAAAAAGCTTTACATATTTAAAACTGTTCGGAGGTGTTAATAATGTAACTTGCATAACTGAAATGCCTTTAAATTTCGGAGCATCTGGCTGAAAGTGTACTCCTTTTTTTGGGTTCATCTTCATGTCGTTGTTTCCTTGTTTTTTCACACTTGGCTAGCTACGTTTTATAGTCCAATAGCACATCAGCTTAATTTCATTTTGACCAAATTTTTCGTCGCCCTGTTTTCGCTGCCCAGTGAGCGTGAATAACAGGCACCCAGAAAAAAGGTTTGAACAAGCTAACATGCTTCGAATAATCTATAATGCTCTTGTCGTGTTCACCACTTTCTGATTTTGTATCCTATTTTCAGCCGACAAAGTCCATAAACCGACACTGAGAAATCATTGTTTGAGCTGTGGGGATTATTGGATTTTCGGCTGTGATTTAATTACATTGGGAACTGTTAGAACAGTTCGACTTTGCATTTGGCTTTAATTGCATATCAATTTCGGAGAGCGTGTTAAAATACCAACACCAAAACACCAATGAAAACGGAAACAGTACCACGAGGCGTGTTCATTAATTATGTCAGATCTGGCCAAAAGCCCAAAGGCCAGCAGTTAACTGGGAATCGAGTGTCAGATTCTGTTTGGAAGGGGAAGTGGAAGTGCCATAATTTATGGACTGGCGCCCATTTCATGGGCTCTTGTTTCCCGGTAAATTATGGCCCCCAGTACGTGTCCTTTTGTGTCCTTGTGTATTTTCTCTGCAACTGACAATGACACTGACACATTTGCTTGTTTTTCCATTCCCTATTTGTCGCTTTAATGTCAGCATCCAAAAGGTTTCAGAAGCGAAAATGCCCTCATTAGCCTTTTGTCGGAATTGAATTAATTTATATAGGAGCCAATTTTGCTAATTAGTAATTGTTGGCTTATGAAATAGCCATGCCAATTGTTGGCTTTTGGTATTGTCGATTTGTGTCAGTCTGTGGTCGGTTTTGCATTTGTAAAACCAGTAATTAGTTGTATGATTTGGCAATGAGGTGAACTTTGATTGCGTTTTCTGAAATTTGAAATTGATTATATTCTACTCATTACTAATGAGTGATAATTTATTGCCCAGTTAATCAATAATCAAGATGAACAGCATATACAAGCTTCTAACTAGTTGATGGTATGTTTTTAGTGCTTTCAAATTTATTTATTGCTTACATAATATATAATCAGCATATAAGCAAAAATTAGTTCTTCTCACTTATCAGTTGTGTAGACTTAAAATTCTTGTTTTAATACAAAAATATATTTGTTTTATTTTTTTTTGGACTACTATGCAGCTTATCAAGGCAGGCATTGATGCCCAGAATCTGTAAGAAATCGTGACTTTGTAGAGAAATAATCGTTCTTATCAAAGACTTACCAAAGACTTTTCGAATGTCTGAGAATAAATTTTAAATCAGTTGACTGAAAACTTTTGCTATTCGCGGCTGTACGCTCTTAAAATGTTTAAATTCTGCATTTATTTCTTGTTTGTCATTTTGGCATTAAACCTGTCGTCTACTGTAGGAGCACAGGCAAATATTAGATGCCAACTAAACCGAAAACAGACATATAAAATCAAAGATAGAGGACCGCAGATGATCGAATGTATATATTTTCGGAACAGTACATAGCATTTGTTTTTTCAATTTTATAAAACAAACTTA